CAACCTGTGGGTCAAGACCCCTTTGGGGGTCCAACAACCCTTTCACAGGGGTCACCTAATACCAGATATTTACATTACTATTCATAACAGTAGCAAAATGACAGGAAGTAGCAAGGAAAATAATTTTATGGTTGGGGGGTCACCACAACATGCGGAACTGTATCAAAGTGTTGCAGCATTAGGAAGGTTGAGAACCACTATTCTATAGAGTCTTGTTACCAAAAGGTTGGCACTTGTCCCAAGGCCATATCAGAAGAACAAGGACAAGTGGTTTGAGAAGAGAAGTTTATTAATTGGTGGCAAATGAGGAAGCTGATATATTCCCATCTCAAAGTGCTAGCTTTTCCCTCTGAGCAGAAGTATAGAGTTGTTTGTTTGTTTGGGGGGTTTGATTTTTTGTTTTTTGAGGGTTTTTTTGAGACAGAGTCTCACTTTGTCACCCTTGATAGAGTGCCATGGCGTCTTAGCTCACAGTAACCTCAAACTGCTGGGTTAGAGTGATCCTCTCAAGAATACTCTCAGCCTCTCAAGTAGCCAGGGCTAAAGGCGCCCAGCACAATGCCTAGCTATTATTTTTAGAGATGGGATCTTGCTCTTGCTCAAGCTGGTCTTGAACTCCTGAGCTCAAGGCATGAACCATGGCGCCCAGCCTGCTATTATTTCATTGTTTCAAACGTATTTCTGGCATGATAATTTTGCATACTAAAAACTTTATGAGGGCTGGGTACCATGACTCATACCTGTAATCCCTGCACTCTGGGAGGCCAAGGCGGGTGGATCGCCTGAGATCAAGCGTTCAAGACCAGCCTGAGCAAGAGCAAGACCCCATCTCTAAAAAAACTCCCAGGCATTGTGGTGGGCACCTGTAGTCCCAGCTACTCAGGAGGCTGAGGCAAGAGAATCACCTAAGAGTTTGAGATTGCTGTGAACTGTGACGCCATGCACTCTACCAAGGGCAACAAAGTGAGACTCTGTCTCAAAAAAAAAAAACAACTAAATAAACAAATAAAGACAGATTTTATGTGTCTGATTCTGGTGTTTTTTTTTTTTTTT